GAACCGCGGTCCCTGTGCTTTGCTAAGCTTGTTCTAAGTAGGTGCTTTAGACCACTGAGCCATCTCACCAGCCCCTGAACACATATCATTTCAATGGAAGGAGCTAAAATTTTATTAGCAATATCCAAGTCAGAGATTCAGTGAAACATCACATTACACTCTATTAACTACAATCAGGTATAAAGGAAAATGAAGGCTGTTGGGTGAGACTGCATATTTCCTCCATTCTGTACACTTAACTGTCCTCCTGAATGGCTGTGGGGAAGAATCCGGCTGAGAGAACCTTAAGAGTTTTCACAGCTACCCTCCAATATGTCGCTGAAGTCCACACAGAGTGCTCAAGACAAGTCACACATGTCACTGGATCTATACCAGCTGCTTAACAGAGCCCAACGACTTCCATGATACTGTTTTGAGTTGAGGTTATCAGAAATACTACTATGCATAACATGGATGGGAGGCAACACAGCAGGAGAGTTCTTCCCTGGCCTTGGGTTCGATTCGCATCTCTGTAGTATATGAAATGTGATACACAGCAATAATTATTAAAACCCAAAGACCAATGCATCCACCAAAGCTGCATAGACATTCTGAAAGATGTGCTCATACCAGCACTCTACATAAATTCTCAGATTGGAAGTAACTCAAATGTCCGTCCAGTTGAAAGAACTACATGGCATATGATGTATGAACAGCGGAATTCTCTCAGTAGAGAAGACACATTGCTGATATAGGATACAGCAGTGAGAACTCACACACACACACACACATGCACACAAGCACATGCACACACACATGCACGCACACGCACACACACACACACAAGCACATGCACACACACGCACGCGCACACACACATGCGCATGCACACACACGCACGCACATGCACACACACACACACACACACACACACTGAGCACAAGAAGGCAGATACAGAAAGCACAGGGTGAATGTTTCAAATTACATCAAAGCAAGAAAGAGGCAAAGCTAATCAGGGACAACAAAAACCAGCACACTGCTTCACTTGAGTTGGGGCAGAAACTCGCGAGCAACGCTTGTAGGCTCGCAATTCTTTGAGTGTGCTGGACAACAAATGCAGCACATGTGTTTACACATGCAGGTAACATGTCCATCTCCGGAAAAACCTGCAGCCCTGGCTATACCTTGAGTTCACTTTTTGTAGCACTTATTTTCCCATCTTACGAGGGTAACAAAGCATATCTTTAAAATCCAAACACTTTTGGCACAAGTTCTGCTTTACTATTGTTTATATTTCTAACAATACAAGACAATACTTCTTAACAATCTGTTGCTTGATTTTAAAATTTAGATATATGAAGATGTAAGAACTGTCTTCCAAAAAATGTAAAGTCCCAAGGATTATGCAGCAGTAAGAAAATGCATTGCACTGTAAACATTTTCCAGGGGAAAATATCAGTCACAACAAATTCTGCTGAATCTGGATGCCAGAAATAATTCCAGTTTGCTACCCTCTCCTCTAAGCGGGAAAGGTGCCCGCTCCAGCATGACTTGGAGACCTTTAGGCTGTCTGGAGGCCTCGCTGAATATTGCAGAGCAAGGGAATTTTGAAGACAGAGCTTCATGAACTCGCCAGCTGTGGCAGTTCTGGGTGTGAAACTGCATTTATGTGCATAATTATAGTACTATCCACACCCACCGACTTCCTCTTGGAGTCGCCTTCTTTTCTCAGCCTCCCCAGCCTGCCGTGTCACTCATGGCTCAGGAGATGCTGCTGCTGCTGCTGCTGCTCCCCAGGCTGTGGCAAGGTAAGGGAACCAGGAGCCGGAGGGGTCCAGGGTGGGAATAGGGGCCAGTGTCTCAGTTTCCGTTTCTCTCCAGAGTCTTTGGCTGAGGAATCAGAATATGGAATTAAAATGCAGCAGTCGGTGACAGCACAGGAAGGATTGTGTGTCTTTGTGCCCTGCTCCGTTTTCTACCCTTGGAATTCCCAGAAACGATCCGACCCAGCTTATGGCTACTGGTACTACCATGGAGCTGACACTGGCAAGGATGCTCCGGTGGCTACAAACAACCCCAAAAAAGCAGTGCAGAAGGAGACCAAGGGCAGATTCCAGCTCAGCGGGGACCCTCGGGCCTACAACTGCTCTCTGAGCATCACAGATGCAACTAAGGCGGACACTGGGTCTTATTTCTTTAGAGTGGAGAGAGGTTATGATGTGAAACACAACTTCCGAGGACAGAATCTGTTCCTGAGTGTGACAGGTAAGGTAGAGGCCGAGGTAGATATTCCCGCTTTGCCCATGGACATGGGCGCTATGCGAGGATGCCGGGAGGATCGAGCTCGCATATGTCCATCAGATCTCAGTTTAGCCTCTTTCCTTCTCTAGCCCTGACCCACACACCTGAGATCCAGGTCCCAGAGATGCTGAAGTCTGGGCACCCGGGAAGTGTGATCTGCAGCGTACCGTGGGCCTGTGAGAGGGGCACCCCCCCAAGCTTCTCGTGGAAAGGAGCTGCCTTCCCCTCCACAGTCCGTGAGCACCACCGGGCCTCCGTACTGTCCTTCACCCCACAGTCACGTGACCATGGCTCCACCCTCACCTGCCAGGTGGCCTTCCCCAGTGTTCGTGTAACGGTCAGGAGAACCATACAGCTCAATGTCTCCTGTAAGTGCAGGGCAAGTGCAGGGCAGAGGCATCTAGGCCTCTGAGGACAACTGGAGTGAGTGGGGAGGAGCTCGGGATCTGGAACTGTTGAGGCTGACGACCTTGAGCCGGGTGTGGATGGGCTAATTCAAGTCCCATGCAGCAGCCCTTCAGCAAGTTCTGCTGCTTTGTAAGATAGAGCCCCTGTGCTCTGTACACTGCGGGGATTTTTTGTTTGTTTGTTTTTAATTTATGCATTTGGTACAGGGTCTCGCTATGCTGCTCGGACTCGTAGTGATGCTCCTGTTTTCAGGCTCCCCAGCACTGGGATTACAGGCGTGTGCCACAAGCCTGGATTTGGTGGTTCCCTCTGAGCACCAGGGGTGGGACTGAAGGGGCCAGCAGTGCTGCGGATCGAACTCGGGTCCCTGCCCTTGCCAGGCAGGTGCTTAGACAGCTGAGCTAGCTCCCTGGCCCTACACTGTGTTTTTCTTTCTTTCTTTCTTTCTTTCTTTCTTTCTTTCTTTCTTTCTTTCTTTCTTTCTTTCTTTCTTTCTTTCTTCTTTCTTTTTCTGAACCGGGGATTGAACTCAGGCCCTTGCACTTGCCAGGGAAGCACCTATTCCACTGAACCATCTCCCCGGCCCCTACACTGTGTTTTTGAAGTATAAACTGTTTCATCTTCTATCGCAGATGCTCCACCCTCAGTGAACCTCACCATTTTTTTGAGAAACTACACAGGTAAGAAAGTGGTGGTTTTCTGGAGGTTGTGATAAGGGTGAGGGCTCCTTCCAGCAGAAGGAAACAGAATCAAACTGTTGTAGGCAGCTGAATTAGACAGAAATATTATAGGCAGTCAGACAGGGCCAAGCCCTCAAGGAGACAAGATGGAAGACAAGGTGACTTTACAACTTGGGAGAGACAGACACTCCCATGTAGGCCAGACCTCAAGACAAACGAGTAGACAAATATAGCTCCATACTTCCCTAGGGATAGGATTCAGGGACTGATATTCTAAATAGGCATCAATCACATTGAAAGTGCCCAATTGAGTCATTAACCCAACCCCCAACAGGAAGAGACCCTGTCCCTTATTCATGCCCGCTTGCTATACGACTCGTTCCCCATTTGGCACCGGATTTAATCCATTTTACCTGAGCAATCGTGCTTGTAATCTCATTGGTTGACCATAGCTTTGTCCCACCTCATGTCCACCTAAGCAAGGTCCCATATCTTCTCTACCACCTTAGACCCGCCTCACCACACGGTTTTCCTCTATAAAAGTCCCTGGAAGAGATAGCTTCCCGGGGACTACCCACTGGAGTTTCCCTTCTGTCCCTCTCTCAGACAGGAGCTCTCTATCTCCCAATAAATATATTCTGCTCATAACCTCCACTTATTCCTAAAATTCATACCTTGGTTTTAGAGAACACAAGCTTCTCCCAGGTACCCTTTAGGTTGGGAGATCATTTTTCTACTATATCATTTGGAGCTCACCCACCCCAGATCAGTTTTTGTCCCTGTATCAAAACCAGAGGAGAAACAAAGTGTAACTTAAGTGTGACACAAGCATTCAGCCCCATCCACTCCTCTCTCCCCTCATCCAGTTTTGGGTTCCTTTTGTTCCTCTTCTTGATGCCCATTCGGCCTGCTGGTCACTGTCCCCAAGGATCATCTGGCACTGCCCTGAGATGACAGGCCCCATTCATTTTTCTAGTCAGCTTAGCTACACCTTATCTTCTATACCACGACCACTTTTTTATGTTGTTAATCTTCCACCTTCCCCCCCACCACCACATATTGGCCAAGTTATGAGTCTCTCTTAGAGCTCTGTCTCCCTCCCACAAGCTCTGCCATTTGGCAGCTCCACTGTGAACTCAGAAATTTCATTCCTCAGCTCTGAGCTCTGCCCTGGGCTTTTCTGTCTTGGGTTCTACTCGTAACACAGCAAGTCATTCCCTTCCAGATCGTATTATATATTCCTTTTTCACAGAGGAAGCCTTAGATCAATGAGCACTTCAGTAGTTAAAAATTTCTCCCAACGGCTTGACTTCATCTCCCTGCTGCGTCCCCTGTTTCTTACTTATGTTGTGTGGTTCTTCTTCATCTCAGGCTCTTCTAAGACATCGCTGACTCTCATAACAAAGCCCAGAAAGTTGTCTTGAATTGGAGTGGGACCTGCAGTTCCTTTATTCTCTGAGTCCAACTTCCGGGGCTCTTGATGTTCCAACAACTCCATGATCCATGGTGGACTCCAGATAGATGTGCAGGTCCTTCCATTTGCCAGCCTATCCCAGTACCTCTGCAGGTCACTTCTCTACCTGAGGTGCCCACCTGTCATGTGTTCACATGACCAGACCCTCTACTTCCAATCCCCCAGCCTCTCTTTTGGAACCTGGAATCAAACTCAGGACCTTTCACTCATTAGGCAGGGACTTATGCCACTGAGCTGCATCTCCAGTTCTTCCAGCCTCTTTACCCCATGGTTTCTTGCACACTTGACTCCTGGAATTGGGTATATCTATGTCCACCTTCCAGAGAGTCATGTGTCCTAATTCTGTTTGATTTGAAAGGGAGGGATGGGCAGGGCTCTCAGATCCAAATGATATTCATTCTCTCTCTCTCTCTCTCTCTCTCTCTCTCTCTCTCTCTCTCTCTCTCTCTCTCTGAATGACCCTAGTCCCAATGATCATGAGCAATGGCACATCACTGCCTGTCATAGAGGGCCAGTCCCTGCGCCTGGTCTGCATGGCTGGTGGTAACCCTCCTGCCTCCCTGAGCTGGTCATGGAAGAGAAGGGACCAGAGTTCCTCTCAGATCTCAGCATCTGGGGTCCTTGAGCTGTCCCCTGTACGAGCTGAGGATGAAGGAGAACTTACATGCCAAGTTCATCACCCTCTGAGCTACCAGCATTTTTCTTTGAACCTCTATGTTCAGAGTGAGTAACAAGACAAGAGCTGGGATGACAGGCTGGCTGGTGTTTGGGGTTAAGGAGAGGAAAGGGCTCTGGGACAAAGCTCCATTCCCTTGTCTTCCCAGGAAGATCATCCTCTTACCTGTGTGCAGCTGAGAAGCAGGATGACTCCTGGCCCCTGTTCCTCACCATCATCAGAGCGACTGCCATGGGAGCCGGCTTCCTCCTCACCTATGTAGTCACCTGGGCCTACTACACCAGGTGAGCACCCTGGCCCTCTCCACTGTACCCTGTGGCAGCTCCCCAGGTTCTGGATTGGGCTGAGCTGCTGTGCCCTGCCTGGTATTGCCATTAACCCAGCTGCCTCTGAGCTGAAAACCCTGTGTAAACTCCACAGGTGTGGCCAGGCCCCAAAACACAAGAGAGTGAAGCGTTCCAGACCCCCTCCTTCTGCTTCTGGACCGAGCCGTAGACACATAGACCCAGTGTACAGCTGTGGGGACAGTCCTGGCAGTACTTCCCTGGAAATTCTCAAATCACACCACCAATGACCATTGGAGCCCATCTTCAAGACCTGGTCCCTGTGTCCCACATCCAGTCCTCAGACCAGTACCAGACACTGGGGACTTGTCAAATTGTCAGTCCAAAGTATCCTTGTTAAAAGCTTTTGTGAATAGGGGGAGGAGGGTTTGAAGGGTGGGGAAGGGGGTGTGAAATATCAAATTATATCATGTACAATAAGATTCTCAAGGTGAATATGATCATTAACATACCAGTCAGGCCAGCGAGATAGCTCAGAGGTCTAAAGTGCCTACTTAGGCAAGCTTAGGCAATGCAGAGACTGCGGTTCAAGCCCCAACACTACATGCTACATGCGCCCTGCCCCCAGAGCAGGCTGAATCAGCCACAAAACTAACAAACAAACAAATAAATAAATAAGGTAAATAAAACATACCAATCAAATCTGATGTAAAGCCCCATAAAATTTCTTGTTAGTATTGCCCTGTTTTGAAATCAACTTGTGGATTCTGTCCCATATCGGGTGAGTTCTCTTTCTCCTATAAGTCTACACCTTCTGATGATCACCTACAGTGGGCAGAGGGAAGCTCAGTGTTCTCTAGACTAGAAATATGGAGGAGGGCCATTCTGTGCCTGGGGACAGGACTCCCCATCTGTGCCCACACCGATGCTAAGCACTCCAAATGCTACTCCATCTCTGAGCTCAAGCATGGGTGAGACAGCTCAGTGGGCTAAGCTTCTGCTTAGGCAAGCTCAAGGACTGGGGTCCGATCCCTGGTACCACATGCCACACTGGCCTTGCCCCCGGGTGCGCGGAGATGCAGAGTCTGGGTGTGGTGCTGTGCTCCTTTAATCCCAGTGCTGGGAAGGCTGAAAATAGGAGGATCACTGCGAGTCCAAGCTGCATAGTGAGACTCTGCACGCATGCACGCACGCACACACACACACACACACACACACACACACACACATTTATAAAAAGCACCACCTCTGACCTCTATTGCAGCTTCCCCTTCTGTGCATCTCTGAGCATCATTATGGACTAGAGATGTGTCTGCCCTCCTCCTACTCTCACACTTACACCCATCAGGGCTTCCTATCCTCATGGAGATGGTGCGAGAGTTGGAATTTGATCCATGAGGCTTTGCTTAGCCTGTGACTCTTACAAGTGCAGCACTCGGGATTCTCCTGAGCAACGGAATCTATAGTGTCTCCCCAAAGCCCATATGTTGAAAATATCATTGTCAGCTCATCTACCAATGGAAGTGAGATGGGTACCTTGGGAAGTGATTAGGACTGGATGAGGCTGTGTGCATGGTGGCCTGTGGTGCATTGACAAGTGGTGGTCAACTGGTAACTCCCAGCTCAACTCAACCAGTCCAGTGCTGGGTGTGGAAGGCCCACCTGAGGGTTGTCGCCTGCAGCATGAGAGGAAGAACCAGGAAAATACAGAGAAGCTTCTGGGAAGCTGTTAGGAGATTGTTGGAGGCATTAGGGAGCAGTAGGGAGCTGCTAGGAGCTGTTGTGTGTCCTGGAGGAGCTTGTCCTGCTAGCTTTCCTGATGAACCAGCTGTTCCCATCGTCAAAAGAACTCAGGACCTGATTGTCACTGAGAACAGCTATGGTTCATTTTTGTGGAGTTCTGGTCCTCACTTTGAGCACTGTTGTCTAGCTCCTGATGGTCAGAGGGGGCAGAGCTCAGAGAAGCTTGTCACTTGTAGCTTTCCTGATGGGAACTATGCTGTCCTTATCATTGGAAGATCTCGAGACCTCACTGTTGCTTCCTACATTAAATATCTCTTCCTGGATCCAGTTCAAGTCCCTCCTTCAGCTAGCACATATCTTTCATCCCACTGGCACGGGCTTTCTATCTTCCACTGCTGACCTTGGAGTCTTTCCAGCGCGGATCCATGAAACAGGTCTGCAAGAGGCATTGTTGTGAGCTCTAGGCCTCCATTTGGATTCATTGGAGGCATTGTTATGGGCTCTAGGTCTTCAGCTGGAATAAGTCAGGATATTACCATTGGATGCAGATCCTCAGCTGGAGTCTTGGGTCTTTAGTGTGTGGACAAATTGCCTCAGTCTTTGTATATGATTCTGTGGGTAATTTTTTTTATTTTTTTCCATAATTTTATTGAGAAACAGATATCAATGAGACAGTTTCAAATCAAATCGGAAGTACAGATTCAACAAATAACACACTGCATAAATTCTTCTTAGAGGTTAATTGCTGTACAAGATGCAGACTTGAGATCCTATTTACAAACACCATTAGAACAAATCATTCTATTAAATTAAGAGAATGCAACTTTATATATCTATCCTAACCACTTTGAATACACACATGCAAAATGGACATTCATCGGTATACCCCATTTTTTCTAAGTTCCGTTATTGAATATTATAGGTGTATAAACTCAGCAAAATATTCTAAAAGAGTCCAGTAGAGCATAATAGCATTGGGTCTTCTGTTTAACTGGCAATGTCAGAAATTATTGACTTGAGTCCCCCACAGCTCAACATAACAGCATGGCTTTACTTCCTATATTTCGTCTTCATACTTTTCTACTGGATGGTTAAGACCA